ATAACTGTTCACACTGCAGTCGCATTGCAAAACATCAGATCTGACCTGAAAAGATCAGATTCCATGTGGTTTGGGCTGTTTACATTGTCATCACCTGAGTCACATGAGGGGGAAAAAAATCAGATTCGTGCCACATTTGCCTGCAGTGTGAACGTAGCCTCACTGCTGTGATGTTTACACATGTAATATATTTCCTGAGGTGATTTAAACCAAAATACACTGACGCTATCAAACATATCTAGAATGATAAGGAATATAGTTACTTACTAAGTTATTAACGCCCAGCAAAACCACACAAAGAAAGGATGGATTTTAAAGGAATAAACAAAAGCCGCGTTTCCACTATCGCGCCTTAAGCGAGCGAGCCAAGGCCAGTCGCGTTTCCACTGTCACTTCCGGGGCCTAATTGGGCCAAATCGGGGCTTTCTTGGGGCCAGCAGCCGGCCTTTTTCCGATCGCACATGAGTACATGCGCCAAACACATGAACAAATAAATAAATAATTGAAAGAAAACATCTGGAACAAATTATAGGCTGGGGTCTTTTTGCGTATGATCGCCCTGTTTCTCTTTTAAATGTAAGGCTGTTGCATAAAATAATAAAATAGATTTAATTTATAAGTGACTTTTCTTGGCTGCGTCTTCCTTGATGTTTCAATAACGCATAATAATCTTTACACCATATTAAAGACACAGCAGACAGTAAAGGTTTTGAGAGTTTTTGTCAAGTTTAAAAGGTGTGTTTGTGCGCGTTTAGATGCCTGTATGTGTGTGTGAGACCGTTGTGAGGATGTTAAAAAATACATTTTATATTGAGTTATTAACGGAGAATTTTTTTATATGTGGTTTTAAATTATGGATGTGTGCACTTCCTGCGCTGGGTTTCTCAGTTAGTGGCAAGACCACTGGATTTCGATGCCAACAGTCGGTCGGCGAGTAAATGAATATGATGAATGAGGACACACTGGTTTGTGCGTTTAAACATACATTGTACTGCTGTACAGTAACGTGTCATTTGTTTGTTTTGGTTGTCCTAATTTTAATAGTTTCGTGATGATGTGGTGTGCTTTATCTGCCTGATTCCCGCTATAGTAAGCGGGTTGTGTGACGTTTGATTCGGGGGATGTTCTGGGGGCGGGGTTTGCGTGACGCGCTGCAAGCTACTAGCCCGACAGTGGAAACGCGACATGATTTCGGCCTCACTGCTCAACCACCCGGGCGATTGGCCTGGCCTGGCCTGGCCTGATAAAAGCCCTGGCTCGCACTGGCCTGATAGTGGAAATGCGGCTAATGTAAGAAAAGCTCCATTATAGTGCACTGGACAAGTCTGAACAAGTTCCACCCACACATGCATGAGGCAGGTAGTTCTGTACAATTACGTAATTTATCGGCTTAAAGATATCAGGCTAATTATGACATCGGACCGATAAAGATAACCTTAAATAGCATTTATCGGCCAATAATGATATGGCCGGCGATAGATCGTACATCCCTTTTTTTAATATTCATCTGACAAATTAGAGTAATAACAAACTGTATTGTTAAAAAATGTCTTGTTAAAAGTTGGGTAATAACGGTTTACAAATTTGTAGCAATAGCTGTTAAAAATTAAATAATTAAATATTTGTTCATAGAGCTATGAAATACACACCAAAGGGTTTAATTTCTAAATTAACTTTGAATAAAAGTCTTTAATGTATATTGTTGCAACCTTTGCTGATTATACTGCCTATTAAGACCATTGATTCTTCCATAAACCACCGTTATTGTTCCCGTGCTTGTCTTCTGGAAAGTGTAGAATGTGTCACAGCAAAACCCACATTTAACTGTTTAGAATTCAACACTGTATCAGACAATACAGTGCATTTCTGGGGAACAATAGGTCTAAGCCAAACTCCTTGATGACATCAGAACAACCTAATTCAATATGCGCTGGGCCTCTGGTATTGTCTTTTAATCCCTTGCCTGGGAGCCAAGCCTAATTAATTACAAACATTGTTTTTGCAGTGTAGACAGTTGTAGTTAATAAGGTTAAGCATAAATAAAGCCCTGTGTGTAAGAGACAACAAACACCATGAGGGAGGATGGTTGCCATTTATGCTAGGCTGCGAATAATACACAAAACTATTTATATTTTTCCTCAGAGATACAACGTCTTACACTTGTTAACATGAAAACACAATTTGAGTGTTTATCCCTGCTTAAAGGATGAAGTTGTTACCTTTTATTTACAGATAAAAGAATTTTGGTTTGTCATTTGAGATTTCTGTTGCATCATATTTCAGCCATTAACGGCTCACTTGCTTGTTATCTCTGGCCTTTAGAACATTGACTTTGCCAATGAACCTCACTTGTTTATCATAAGTGATTCAATGACATTTTAAATCTAATTTATTGGTTCAAAAGATTAACTGTTAATGCAAGCTATTATAGAATATAGAATATAGAATATAGAATACTGGCAACCTAGGGAAACTGGGAAGCTGCTGGTGAATCTGTTTGTGAAGAATGTAGTGTAAAGAAATGTGACAATGTAACCAAGCATGTTACAAATTTCCCAACATTTCCATTAACTGAACACTATGGGGGTCCATCATAGGTCATATTGTATCCTAAAATAATTATCCTAATTATCAATTGTAATATGATAATTATGTATAATAAAATGAAGAATCAAATTTTCAGTTGAATAATTACAGCATAAAAATGTATATAAATAAATCACATTTTAAATGGACAAATAAATCAGATATTTAAAGTAATTTAATAAAGCAATAAAACAATGAATTTAACAGTATTTTTAAATGTATAAGTAGACAATTTTATAACTGTTTATTTATTTGTTTTAAAACATCAATAAATAAAATAATATAAATAATTATTCACTCTTAATAAACTAATATCACTTTTAAATTGACAATTTAATGTGCATAATTACATTTATTAAATTAATGTTTTTAAATGTCATTTAATAAAAAAAACATTGTTTCAAAATGCTGATTAATTTAACAATAAAGTTTATATTAATAAATCATTTTAAATGCATATTTTAAAAGCATTTTTTAAGCATTTGGCAAAGGCCTTTTGCCAATTGCTTTTCTTTGTTGTTTAGCTGAAGGCTTTTCTTTATCCATTTGTCAATCAAGTAAAAAAAAAGTGCCATCGGTCTGTAAACACGTTTGAGCAATCAATCAATCACCTTTCACCTCAAACCTTCTCCTTTAGGTAAAAGCAATGCCCTCTGTCACTGGACATCGAGAAAAACTGTAGGTTATAACAGTGTCATAGAAGCTGTGTGCATTTAAAATGGTTTAGCTTTAAGCAACAGACGTGTGCAGAGAATTTGAACAGGTCTTGCATCTCTGAAACCTTTTTCTGGGTTCACACATCAAGGAAGGAGGCTGGAATCAGTGAACATTATTATTAACTTAAATTATAAAATATGAATATAAACACATGTGTGCACCAACCCCTCATGGACAACTGCTTTCTAATCCATAAAATGCTGTAATGAGAGTTTGAGGTAAAAGGTGATTGGTGGAGCTAATGTGTGTACAGACTTTTTTTTTTTACCATAACATGTTTTAATTCTTTTGACAAATGGACAATAAAAAAGGAAGTTGGTAGATAGGTTTATTATTGTGCTTTTTTTGTTTAATTAATCAACACTATGATTTTAAATTTGTCTGTTTATTTAAGCATTTAAAGGCGAGTTATTTATACTTTTTTATGTTTGGATTATTACATTTGATAAATTTATTATTCATTTTATTTAAGCGACACTCCTGGTCCTCCATAGTATCATTGAGAATCACTACTGAGAATGCAAGACCATTTCTCCTACGGCCTAGGAGAAATGGTCGTACTCAACTAAGCATGGTTTCTCTCAAGAATTTTTATTCTTTATTTTCGCCACTTGGTTACAACTGTCTTGGTTGCCACTGGTTTGCATAGTTTGTGATCTGTGGAGCTGCGCATCGATGGATTTGCTCTTCGGTGTTAAAAACTGAACTTCAACAATGAAAATCAGATTGACACTTTCAATTTACCATAATCTTCTATGTGAAGCTCCTTTGACACAATATACATTGTAAAAGGCCCTATGGAAATAAAGATAAATTGAATGATATTTCCCTATTGAGATTTTATTAAGTCCTACATTAGTCATTTTTAAAAACAAGTGTGAACATGCAACTATTTAAAAATGGAGTAATATCTTTTTAAGAATATATCTGAATGTATATGAGAAAATATTAAAATGAGATAATATACGATAGTTCATGTTTTTATATTTTAAATACCAAAGAAAAAAAAATATGAAAAATACATTCAAAAACAAAGTTTGTTCAGACACCAGATATCTCACATCATTTCCCAAGTTATACAAATAGTTTATTCACTATAATTTCTGAAATAATAATAAAATATTACAAGGACTAAGAGTAAATCTGTGGCAGAAAAAAAGTGAATTTAATGATGAATTTAAATCAACTAAAATTAATTCAAACAATTAAGTATGATAAAATTTTTACAATACAACAATTAGTACATTAAGTCATCTTTAGCCTGACAGCCTGGAGTCTAACAACACTGCTGTCTACCAGTTTTTTTTTTTTTTTTTCCCAGACGATAATAAATATAAAAAGTATATAAAAAGTAATAAAAAGTAGATAAATAAAAATAAATAAATGGAATCTGAAAGCATTGAATATTTTTACTGATTTATTGTAACTTAAAAAAAAAATCTAATATTAAGATCAGTCCTCTAATGCTCTGTGTTTCTAACTGGTTGTGTTGTGAAAATGTCTGAAATGGAAAGATTTTTTTTTTTTTTTTTTTTTTTGCTTCTCCTAACCTGTCCAACACCCTCACAGGCTATCCATTAGTGGTCTGGTTATGAGCCAGTCAATCACTGAACAGAACCCACCATTTGTACTGCCATGTTAAATGTTCGTCAGCAGACCATTTTTAACTAAAGATATTTTCTCTTCTGCTTTTCTAGAATGCGATGCAAATTGTGGGCTTCATGGAGGATGAGGTACAATCAATACTCGAGCTGATAGCTGCTGTTCTCAAGCTGGGAAATATTGAGTTCAAACCAGAGTCTCGAGTCAACGGCTTTGATGAGAGTCGAGTCAAGGACAAAAATGGTAAATATTTGGCTCTGTCAGAAAGCATTGCCTATCCAACAGGTTTTTTGAACATGCAGCTGAACTGAAAGATTACATTTAAAACTCAAAAAAAAAAAAAAAAAGGAAATAAGAAAACTTCAAGTGCAGACAGTATTATCTGTGATTTTTGATTTGTGATTTGATTCAAAGATATTAACATTTGCTGACATCCAAAATAAGATTATAATATTAAATGTGAACAAAAATTAACTGAACTCTTGATTTTAACTGTATATTCATCTGCTCACCATGTTGATCACTACTGCCATCTATTGATATGTCAAAAGATATTTAAAGTCATAGCTTACAGTTGTAAGTTTAGTCAGTAAACACATGGGCACATATTTCTTTACTAAGTAGCCTTTGCGTTCTCTAATAAAAAAAAAATATATATATATATATATGTTTTTAAAGAGACTTATTGATTAAGGTAGTCTAAATGTATTTAAACCAATTCAAGATTTCTCAAAAATTATTATATAATTGGTTTACCTCAATTTAATAGTCAGAGGCAATCAGGTCATTCATAACCTTTACAAACCGAAAATGCTCATTTTCATTAATGCATATATTCTGGCCTACATTGTCAGATGTATAGTTGCTTAAATTTAGGAAAAAAAATTCATATGATACAGTAAAAAATATGTATTTTCAAGTGTAAAGTCCAAATAAAACAATTGGGAAACCAAATCAGGTTAATAATCATCTTATTTATCAAACTACTTAAATGTTTGCACAACTTATGAAGATTGTTACTTGGTAACTTGGCTGTTGGTTGTTCTAGTAGTTTCTTATGTCCAGGGTTGTGGCTGGCCCAGACTAAACATCACAGTCTATGTCAACACCTCCATTTATATACTATGGCGTCTGGTTTGTCTGGTCAGCTTAAACCCATTAGCCATAATGTGCTTTCCATTGCCCTGTTGACCCGATGGGCTGAATTCTGAAATGAGACAGATTGAGCTGGTATAGGATGGGGGTGGGTGTATAGCTAATGTCTAGATCTTCTCAAAATCCCTGGAGAGAAGCACTTTTAAAATACTCTTTAGCTTAAACTCCTGGAAAGGGGCTTAACATGTACCAGTCTAAACCTTGACCTCTGCACTCTAGGAGATGGTTTAATCAGAATGATAATGGTTTCATATTATAAAGACATATCAACTTATGTAGTATTGCTTGTTGCTGGCAATTACTCATTTGGTTATTGTTTAAATTTACATTAACATTATAAAAAATATATATATATTTTTTTCTTATCTTATTTTATCTGATCTGCATGTGTATGTTTTTGACATTTTCTCTCTCAGACCTGAAGGAGATGTGTGAGCTGCTGGGCATCGAACAGTCTGTGCTGGAGAGAGCTTTCAGCTTCCGTACGGTGGAGGCCAAAATGGAAAAGGTGTCCACCACACTTAATGTGGCTCAGGTAAAGCACATGTACCTTCTTTGTCTGTATGTGGAAGTCTATTTAAATGTTTGGTTTTCAAGCACATTAATTTACTTGAAACTAGACAGCGTGTCTTGAATAAAGAAAAAGGTCATACTACACATCGATCAATTTATTTGTTTGTTTGAAAAATTTAAATGGAATTTATATGGCAGGAACTTATTTTCTTGATGTAAAGGCTGTTCTATTTATACATTTTTTAAATACTACATTGATTTCCAAGTGAGAGATCAAGTTAGTTTCCTTGGTGAAGAATCATGCATTTATCCACTAGGTAAAAAAAGCAACCCTCATTCAATAGATGATCGCAAAACTTAATTGCCTTTATGTCCGGACCACAAAATGCCTCTTTAAAACATTTTATTCAGTCTGTGTCATGTCTCTAAATGGTACTTCCATGAGACATGGGGTAAGTTGGAACTAGAGGTTGTGTAATATGTCTAGATAGTGTGTTATTCAGAAGTTATGGACATTGATTGTAATGCTAAACTCCTGTTTCAGGCTTATTATGCTCGTGATGCACTTGCCAAAAACCTGTACAGCCGACTGTTCACCTGGCTGGTAAACAGAATCAATGAAAGCATCAAGGTATGTCACTTTAGATGTTCATTAAATTATTGTTTGCTGTAAATGTTTGAGTGTTTAAAATATTTTGGTGACATTTTGTGTTAAAAAAAGTTAGATTGTAAAGTTTTTTCCTTTTTTTCCATCAGGCTCAAACCAAGACACGGAAGAAAGTAATGGGAGTGCTGGATATTTATGGTTTTGAAATCTTTGAGGTGAGAGATTTGGTCTAAAAATTGAAATTTAATATAAGAGATACGGTAACGCTTTATAATAACTACACACTATTTAATAAACATTAGCAAATAGTGAATTCATTATCTGTTAAGCATTAACTCTACATTAATAAACGTTAGTAAGCAGTTTATAACTACAGCTACAAATGCTGTATTATTGACTTAAAACCACATTTATAATGTGCTTAATAATTGTACTTTCATACTTTGTTAATGAATTTATTTTTCATATCTAAATTAAGTATTGCAATATTAAAAAAACAATTATTTAAGCGTAGTCTGTGGGTTTATTTTCATCATTTAAAATGTGCAAGTAAATGATTAATTTGTCTAAAATTACTGTGCAGCTACAGAGCATTTAATTGTCATTTATAAGGGATTTATAAAACATAGTCTGCACTTTAGATTAGGTCACAAAACTGGATGAAGTTGAGTTAATAAAGCATTTATTAGCATGCGTAGTAACCATTACAATATGTCTGAATAATAAAATGTAGAAGTGTTAACTTCAATAGTTTATTAATCATTTACTAACTCAATCTGAATGATCTTAAAAACCTCAAAATACTCTTAAATACAAATGGTTTGTAAATAATACTTAATATACTAATGAAAAATCAACCTGTCACAAAATATGAAATTACAATTACTAAGCACATTATAAAAGTCAAGAATAGAGCATTTGTTGCTGCAGTTATTAACTGCTTACTAACGTTTATTAATGTAGAGTTAATGCTTAACAGATAACGAATTCACTAGAAGCTGATGCTTAATAAACAATGCATAATGTGTATAGTTATTATAAAGTTTTCCCAAAGATCCTTATGTTGTCACTACTTGTTCATCTTTATCAACATGTACCACATTACCAAGTCAGATCTGAGCACACCAATGCATGTTGATAAACTATCCTTTATTTCTTGTCTGACACATTGTGTACTTCCAGAATCAGACATCTTCTAACCTTGTCAATTTGATTTTAAAAAATCTGTTTATTTAACTGGAACTGTCCACTTGCATGCTGTTGTCCTAATACTATAACTTCATGCTATAATGGCTATCATGACTATTGTTGTTGCCATAATAAATTCATTAAATGTTAACATAAAATGTTTAATCTTATACAACATTTTAGGTCCACACTGAGTATTGTATTGTTATTAAATTCAAAGTTTGTAGCCATGCTTAAAACTATTCTTCTGTGTTTTCCCCAATACTCAGTCTGGGCCTGTTCTTTTTACATTTCATTTGTCCATCGCATGTGTTCTACTGTCTGACTTTATTACTCTCTTTTGAATGTTGTTTATGTTGTTGTTGTGGCCATGACGACAGAATGGAGTAAGTAGACCTGCAGAGAAAATACTGTGGCTGTGTGCATGCTTCAATTTTAGCACTTAATCCTAGTCTTAATTCTGCTGTTTTTATTTTAGCAGCATAAGCCACTGTTAGAGCAGAACCCTGAAGCCCACTGTGTCCTTTTAGTTTTAGTTTGACCTATTCACTTGATGTTACTGTTTTAGTGCCATACGTCTTGCACTTAAAATAAATACCTTTAAATGTATGCTTTTGACAGACTCTAAATAAATGTACTATGCATTCACATCATGCATTTCCTAGGAATCTTAAGACTATTTGTAAAAGTTGGGTCCAAAAGAAGGTATTCTGATAGTTCAATGTGTTTGTTTATTTATTTATTTTTTTTTTTCAGTATACATTTATGGGTAACATTTTTTAAAGATAAAAGCACAAAGAACATAACTTTTAGAATGAAAAAGGAAGAGTTATTAAGGTTCTTTTTTTAACATGTTTATCTTTGCAATTCTCACTTTAAGATTACTTCACCCTGATCTGTCAGTATGCCCTCTTAGCAATATCTGCCAACATAAAGTTACCATTGCCAAGTAAAACAATGCGGTTCAATATGCCATATGCTCCCTTTTGGAAGTGATTATGGGCTTTTTGTTTTGCCAGCTCTACGGTACTGATAATTGCAGTGGCTTTAGCTGCAGACTAACATGCTTTAGGATTGCTCTGAAGATTAAAGAAAAAAATGGAACAGGAAGAGGATTGTTAATACTTCAACCCCAGTGCCATGCTAAATAGTACAGTCCTAACCTTTTATCATAAGCCAGCAACAATAGCATTGGGCGCTACTGTTTTATTTCATTAACATTGTTTCACCAATTGGGGTTTAGCATGAGATGGGGAAATTGTTAATTTTTTTTCTAACCCTATGGTCAAATCTCTGAAACATTTAAACAGATTTGTGGGTACGGAAGTTAAAGACTTCCTCGCAAAAAAAAAAAAAAAACAGATAAAATGTTTTGACTTATTTTAATCTAAGTTATGTAAAACCTGATTTGCAAGATCAAGCTGTATTACAGTGTTTTTCGTATATTAGAGATGCTCATTAAATGTCTTAATTAGATTAATTAATAAAAAAAAAAACATTCAAATTTTTTTTTTTTAATTTAAAAATTTTCAAATTTTGCCCATCCTGTCCTGTCCTGGGGTCCATACTGTCCTTCTAGGGGTGATACGGTTCACACAGGTAACAACGTGCATGTGATCAGATGATGAGCCGTTTTATTTTAATGATTATTATTGATGGTTGTTGTATTTATTCAGTTAAACAGCTAAAGATTCTTTAAAAACATGCGTTTTGATTATGCAAGGGCCTCACAAAATATCACTTACCATTTATACAATATAATATTTAAATTGTATTTGACTCTTCATGAGATGTTATATATTTTGGTTGAGTGTTAGACCAATTGTTGCCCAAAAAATGTGTTTGCTGGTTAAATGTATTTAATTAACATTTTTTACTTCTTTTTTTTTTCTTTTTTTTTCCCATATTTTCTTTAACATTTTCCCTATTTTCAAGTCAAACCAAAGTTCCAAATAATATAGAGGCTAGCTTATTCAAAAGTACCTAGAGGAGGAAGGTGCTTAGTAAAAAGAACAGTGAGTGACTATTAATAGTGAGCTGGCTTGCAGTGCAGTGAGTTGCAGATTCGGATTTACAAAATAATTAGCATGGTTATCATTTTCTCTCTGTTATCTTATTAATTTTATTCTCTATTCTTGCAGGACAACAGTTTTGAGCAGTTTATCATTAACTACTGCAATGAGAAGCTACAACAAATCTTCATTGAACTTACTCTCCGTGAGGAGCAAGAGGAATATATCCGTGAAGTATGCTAAACCCTGTCTATTTATATACAGTATATAAGGTGACCATCAACAAATATGAGCTTTCCGCAAAGGTTTGAAATTTTTGAAACAACATAGCGAATTCTTCTTTGGAAGAAAAATTGCAAACGCATTAAGATCTTTAGAAGTGGCATGTCAGTTGATTGGTTGCACTTTGTTGCAGTAAGTGCAAATTCATGCACTGAGACTGAGACTACTAAATTGGGAATGTACTATAACATAAAATATCTACATGGGTTAAGTTTAAGAGTAGAATTGGTATTTGGTTATTATCTAGGTATTATAACTATGATACGATAAAAAGTGTGTAAATGTGAAACATGGCTGAAAAATATAGTTGCATTTACACTAGGGGAGTTAATGAACATGCATCTATTATGTTCTGTTCCAAATAGTCTTCATCTGCTCTTTGTGTTCCTTTCTAATTTTCACGCTCTGAATGTGGGACGGAAACAATCCCTCACTCCAGTCAGGGTAAATAGAATTGTCCCTGAAGAGCTTCGAGCTCTGTTTGGTTTCAAAACTCTGAGTATGTTCTCTGACGTTGCTGTGACCCATGAACTGTGATATTTTACTCTCTGGCTTCACTCCAGTAGAGTGCATGGGAAAATACCACTGCTCTGGAGACCGAGGAGGGACACAGGGGTCTAGGGACCAATCTGCCCCAAACCACATTCCACGTTCCTCGTTTCTGACCCCTACTCCGCATTGCACCTACCTCCTAGTTTGAGGACTTTACACATAGTCCAATTAGCCCACAGCTATTTTCCAGCTTGTTACATCATTGATTGTTTCTCACTTATACCCAGTGTGTTCTATCTTTTGCTAATGGGCCATAAATGACCTGCGCACCAGACCGTAATTATCATAAAGAAACCGTCATGGCATGGAACAACATGTATCAAGCCATCTCTAATGTATTTTTAATCTGCATTGCTGCAGCAAATAATATGATCGCTGTTGTGAATATGGCAGTTAGGTTTATTTGTTATGATTTTTATTTGTACCCTTTATGATAAAATTTTCCAGATGGTAAAATGTCTGTGTTCTAAACAGCACAACTTGCATATGTGTGGTATTTGTATTTAATTTAGGATGTATGTTAATAATGTGTTTAATTGCATTTTGGAATTTTAATAATTAAAGTAAGGTCAAGTCATTGATTCATTCATATTTGCAACTAACTACTCTTACAGTTTGTGTTATTTTGTATCTGATTAAGTCTGTTGACTCTAATATCCCTGGGAATATCCCTTTTTAGAAAGAGAAACTGATGGAATGAAAAAAAGTTATTTGCATCTATTTTTGTCTATAGGGTATTGAGTGGACCAATATTGAGTACTTCAACAACGCCATCATATGTGACCTCATCGAGAATGTGAGTCTGTCTCTGACAGTCGTTTTACAAGGCCACATTCTGACAACTTGTGTTTTTTGAGTCTGTAGTCTTAATTTACAATCATTATAATAAAGGTTATTTTTGGTGGGTGTCTTTTATAAACCATGTAAAAATATATGATTGTCATTGTCTACTGTATTTTTATAGAAAATGCTTTTAAATAGGTTGCTGCACTTATTTTTTAATAGACATATCTGCAAGAAGTTTAATAAATAATGAGTAGATTAGAATAAAGACTATCGTATAATCTACAGTTTATTGGAGATTTTTTTTTTTATGTATGTATGTCCAATTTGATCTAATAACATTAATTTCTTTTTTGTTTTCAGAACAAGAATGGTATTTTGGCCATGTTAGATGAAGAATGTTTGAGGCCAGGCACTGTGACAGATGAGACTTTCTTGGACAAGCTGAACACTGTGTGTGCTGAACACCAGCATTTTGAGAGCAGATTGAGCAAAAACTCCAAGTTTCTTACTGACCATAGCCTCCCACACAACTGCTTCCGCATCCAGCACTATGCCGGCAAGGTGAAACCGTAAACAATGCTTGAATCTTCCTCAAACCTCTGCTATGTTTTTTTTTTAAATATATATTTACAAGTATAACAGCTTCTCATAAATGTAAGTTTTCATGCAACAGTATATAGGGTTGCAAAGAAGCCTTTACATTTACAATGTAGGGCTACAAAAGCAACCATACATCCCTAAAAATTGTCACAGTGGTATTGGTATTGGCCGCATGCCCTTTGTACATTATTGCTGTTTTTCATAAACATGAGAATTGCTAAAAACAATGATTGAAGAAACCATAGGGATTATTACTAGCCCTCATGTATGTGTATATTTGTGTGTGTGCGTGTGCATGTGTGTGTGTGTGTGTATATATATATATATATATATATATATATATATATATATATATATATATATATATATATATATATATATATATATGTATATGTATATATGTATGTGTAGATAGATAGATAGATAGATAGATAGATAGATAGATAGATAGATAGATAGATAGATAGATAGATAGATAGATAGATAGATAGATAGATAGATAGATAGATAGATAGATAGATAGATAGATAGATAGATAGATAGATAGTAAAGAGTGTGTAAAGAAGATTTGTTCATCATAGTTTTCTAATTATCCAGGTGCTGTATCGGGTTGAAGGTTTTGTGGATAAAAATAATGACCTCCTGTACAGAGATTTGTCCCAGGCCATGTACAAAGCCAATCACAATCTGATAAAGCTTCTTTTTCCTGAGGGTAACCCAGCTAAAGTGAACCTCAAGCGGCCCCCCACAGCTGGATTCCAGTTTAGAGCCTCAGTGGGAACACTCATGAAAAACCTGCTGACCAAAAACCCTAACTATATCAGGTAAAGCTCAAAAATTAATCATAATGTTAGAATTAATTATATTTTTGGGACAATACTTACTTTTATTTAACCGCAAAGTAAGCTTACAAATCAGTTATTCACAAAAAAATATTTTTTTATGACTTGCTTCATATACAATGTGTGGAAAAGTGTTTGCCTTCTTTGTTCAGTATTTACAGCCTTTGCTCAATACTTTGTTGATGCACCTTGTGCAGCAATTACGACCTCAAGTATTTTTAAATATATGATGCCACAAGCTTGGCACACATGTCTTTGGGATTTTTTTTCCCGTTCCTCTTTGCAGTACCTGTCATGCTCAGTCAGGTTGGATGTTTCCATTGATTATTCTTGAGATGTTTCAGATCTGAAATTGGCTGTACACTGTCGCTTGCCCCAGACATGCTCAATAATGATCACTGTCACTGTCGCTAAAGACAGGTGTATACCTTTTTAAATCATGTCCAATCAACTAAATTTACCACAGGTAAACTCCAATTAAGATGCTGAAACATCTCAAGAATAATCAATGGAAACAGAATCTACCTGAGCTCAATTTAGAGCTTCACAGCAGAGACTTTGAATACTTGTGTACATGTGATTTTTTTTTATTTATTTATTTATTTATTTTTTATAAATTTGCAACCATTTCAAAAAATCTTTTTTCACATTATCATTAAGGGGTATTTTGTGTAGTTTTTTTGAGGAAATAAATGAATTGAATCCATTTAGAATAAATTTAGGCTGAAATTGTGGAAAAAGTGAAGAGCTATGAATACTTTCCGGATGCACTGTATGTAATGCAAATTGAATAAACAAAATAAAATAAAATATAATAACACATAATTGTTTTATGTTTGTGTTCTGCAGGTGTATCAAACCCAATGACAAGAAAGCAGCCCATATTTTCACAGACTCACTAGTGTGTCACCAGGTGCGCTACTTGGGTCTAATGGAGAATGTTCGTGTAAGAAGGGCTGGTTATGCTTTCCGCCAGGCCTATGAGCCCTGCCTGGAGCGCTACAAGATGCTCTGCAAACAGACTTGGCCCCACTGGAAGGGCCCAGCCAGGTTAGAATACCTATGATCTAAAACCTTTTGGTGTAATGGTTTTAGTGTTGTTTAAAACCATTGGAAAATTTGTGTTTTTCTGAACTTGGTCAGCTGAAATCATTGCACTGTCATCACATATGAGATTAGGCAGATCTTTCAGTGGCTGTACTTCCACCTGCATAAGCATTTTTACACTTTTTTTGTTCATATTTATACTTGTATACATGCTGTTTCTTGTCCTTAAACGCCCTATAGTATGTGACTTACTGGTGTTTAATCCATCAGTGCTTGGCTGCAAAATCTTTCTGATTTATCTGATGAAAAACATGTCAGAACAGATTTTACCCTCATATCTTTGTCACTTTTGGACCTTTTGAACTTATTTGTCTTTATGAAGAGTTCCACGTTTTATTGTTATCGCTCTGTGGAATGTTATTATCCTAACTTTGCAGACTGTGGTTAATCTATTTTTTTTATTTCCATTCAGATCACACAGACATTGTTTTTGTCTTCAACATGGTGCATGTTGTCATGATAAAGAATCATGTGCTTCTTAGTTACATTATGCTAACTTTTCTGTATTGTCTGTCTTTTTCATAACTTATCTGTTTTTTTTTTTTGTTTTTTTTTTTGCTGTCTATTCTTTGATGAGTGTAGTTACAGTGAGGTTCCAAAGTCTGAGATTACAGTTGAAAATAACTAATTTTAAACTGTTCATATTTTAACAGACATTTGAATTATTTAAACATATTTATGATTTAAGTAAATCATTACAGATTGGTGGTAGTCAGGACATACCTCAAATATGATTATAAAGTGCTTTCGGTAAACAGCACAGTAAACTGCTATATTACTTTCTTTCTTTCTTTCTTTCTTTCTTTCTTTCTTTCTTTCTTTCTTTCTTTCTTTCTTTCTTTCTTTCTTTCTTTCTTTCCTTTTGTTTTCTTTGTTTTATTTTCTTTCTTTTCTTTGTTTTCGTTCCTTTCTACCTTCTTTTACTTTTTTAATGTGTATATAATGTACTAGCACTTCACTTAAACTAAGGTTACAAGTTTCTGGATAAATAAGCATACAGCTTATTTATCCAGAGTTGCTCTGTCGAAACCATCTGCCGAGTATAAAAAGGAAAACTTTTAGGCCTCATTTTTTAATGATCTAGGCGTAAAGTCTAAAGCGCAGGGTACAAAAGCATTAAGGGCATGTCTGATTGCACTTTTGCTATTTTAGTGACGAAAAACTTTGCTCTGCGCTACGGCGCATGGTCTAACAGTGTTGTGCTTATTCTCTTAAAGGGCCATGAAACCCCCTCGTTTCAGCAGGGTGTTTTCACACCTCTACTTTGGAAAAAGTCAGAAAAGTGGGCGTGTCCAGCTCTGTTTAGGGGGGAGTGTCGGAGGAACTAAAGTGGGATGGTGTGGGAGTGTCTATTTGGACACACGCGAGTTTCAGTCAAAATACACAAACATGAGAAAGGGATGGTGTTTAACCTACATGGACATCTGTAGTCGAATTATTTGCCAAATTATTAAATGTTGGACTTTAACTGCAGTTTGGCTCTTTCATTCAGGGAATTTATTCATGCCCCTCACGACAAACGCGATATTTGATTCGAGGATCTGCTCTAAGCGTGTATTTTTCATGCAATGTTTGATACCACACGGCGAATGAGAGAAAAAAAACTCTGCATTTCCCGGAAACTTAGATGCACAGGGCAGGTAGCGTCAGAAAGCCGCGTGTGTTATTCCGGTCACAAAATGCGGCGCTATGTTTGCACTCAGTGCAATAGTTAACTTAATTCGATACGAACAAAACTGAATAAACAAAGAGCACTGGTCGCTCACTTACCAAATCTGTAGAGACAGGACAATCACCAGCAACTAGAGCCGCGTCTTTATGAAGAGAAGACTAACGATACAAGGGAATCCGGATTTCAGCGTTTGCAGATGAGAACTCACAGAGAGAAAATGAAAACGAAACTTAATTGCAGCAAACTACAAAAGCAACACTTCACGCTTGTTTTGCCAACACAACGTGGCGTCTTGTGGCGTAAACGCGGTGACACTAATGAATATTAATGAAGTTGCACAATAGAGCGCGCTGATTGGTTTGAACCAAGCCTTACTCATGCATTAATGCATCACACTGTAAGACGTAATAAGACTCACTCTGGCACAGACGCCCAGTCTGCACAATGGAATACAGGCTTTTATGTCATGACCGTGACGCAGCTTCAAAAATTCGTTTCAAACAGGAAGTACGAATTTGCTTGAAATAATGCAAAAACAACCAATTTACACTTTTTAGTGAAATATAGGTGTCCTAATAGTGTTTTTAGCAGTGTGGAACACATATACGACTGTCAACAGCTCAAAAAATGTGTTTTGGTGTTTTGTAACCCTTTAATGAGTTCTGGGTGTGTTTTGAGAATAAACCAATTAGAGTCCCATCTCACATTCTCTTAAAGAGTAAGTTGTATCGCGCCATCATGCATTTTCTATTTACATGGCAGATTTTGTTAGTGGAAAAACTGAAACTTCACTAGCAAGAAAACAGTTAAACAGACCATCTGCAGCACAAGGATAAAGAACAAGCCTTCTCCAATCGGCCTTTATGTTCTCTTTTTCTCTTTTGTGGATAAGGAAAAGGAAACATTGTTGTAGGCTACCCACAGACATTCATTAGCCTACATAATTAATTCTGTTTCAGTGCAAAGATTTGTCAAAACTATTTCTAAATTCATTTTTAATTTCCAGCAAACAAAAAAATAAACAATAATAACAAAGTGTGGTAAAAAACTGAGTTATATCCAAACATACATGCTATGGCCCATATGGTCCAAAACCTGACAGGTGGACAAATCTAAGCTTGTTTTTAATAAAACAAACATAAATATGCATGTAGTAAATAATACTAATAATAATAACATTATACAAAAGCAAGTTGTCATGAATAAACTGAAAAAAGCCCCCCAGAGATGAAGAAGGCATGCAGGCAGTGTTTTTTTTATATTTATGTAGAAGAAAATTATTTTTATGATATTGTAATCCTTTAATTCTTTTCATTCAAATCCTTTCATTTATTCATTTGCAGAGATATTTGAGTATTGCTGTACTTACTGTGTGTTTTAAGCAATGTGTAAGCGAGGCACACTACTAACGGGCTCTGCACTGGACTATAGACCTGCTTTCAGCTGGTCTATTGTTTAGTCTATTTTTGTTCCTCAAAATAGCAACACTCCAAATATGTGCCTTAACACACCTCTTTTCTAGACCGAAACACCCATGAGTCCACTAAATGGCGCAAATGGATTTGCTATTTAAACAATGTGGCTGAAAACAGGAAAATTAAGGATGAGTTGGTCTGAAAATAGCTACATGTTGGGGCAAACATGTCTTGCGCTTTATTGCGCCGGGGTGCATGATAGGGCCCTTTGTGTCAACTCTAGTGTTACTCTCATCAATACAAAATATCAACTTACAAAATACTGGACATTTACTGTAGATAGAATTGTTATAATTTCAGAGCCTTTTTACTGTGGTCTCAGACTTTTATACCCTCATTTTGTGATTTTTGTGGTATGGTTGAATAACAGCTGGTGGATTGTTTATTTAGGGAGGGTGTTGAGGTTCTCCTGAGTGACCTTCAGGTTCCTGCAGAGGAATTTGCCTATGGACGTTCAAAAATATTCATCAGGAATCCCAGAACGGTGAGTGAGTTATTGCATTGTATATCATTGTGATCTTGAGGAAGTTATAGTATACTCACATGGCGTATACTATATTATAGTATATGCCATGTGAGAAAATATTTAGAGAAAAAAATCTTCTTTGCTTTACCAATTCTCCCTACCAACATTTTAAGACTTGAATTTTTTATAAGCTATTAAAGCAAGTTATATGTATGATCTCTCAAGGGTTTCTATAAAGTGTTTTTCAGACAGGAAGTCATGTTCCTTCAGGCTTTTCTCATATAATTAGTAGCAATTGCCTTCATGGAAAAAAAAAAAAAAAAACAGCAGTCACACACATGGTTTCACTTATCCCTCCCTCCTCTGTTTGTAAATTTGCATGGGAAACGAGACTCCAGCCGAGAAATTCCTGAGGAGCTCATGAAACCCCTGTACTAAAGTTTTGGTGTCATACACCAAGCAGTGCAGAGCTTTTATCTTATTCTAGTCCATTATTGCTGCATAATTTCCAACCTCCAGGTAATTGTTCAAAGCCACTTAGATATAACACATTTGATATGTGTCCACCCACAGTGTAGTGTATTTACATTTTTTTTTCTTTATGGAATGGCTGTTTATATCATTGATTTTGCTCATATAAAAAATCTGCAAACTGAAACTCACCTGTTTTCCACTGATGCTTATAAAACTGAAGCTTAAAAAAATGTAATTTAATATTTTCACTTAACCTGGCTGCAAAGAAGCAGCAGTCTCTCACTCAGATTTTGTTTTCAAGTTGATTGAATTATTCAGTGTTGAATGACAAAAAACTGCTTGGATTGAAAGTGGCTACTGTCAGCTGCATATTAATATACAGCAAGAAAAATAGTTTCTGTTACTAGATTTTAAATAAATCTGAAACTAGATTTAATGGTGACACTTTCTAAGCAGATTGGCATTTAACAATCAAATCTTCTAAACCAAATTTAGACCGCTCTGCCAGAACATTTGCCACAGTTTTATAAGTATTATTCAATAAAGAAATTGAACGCCAATTATCTACCACAAGTGTTTCTTTTTGTCAAGTCTAAACTAATTTCTTTTGTCTTTGTCATGATGATAGAATGCATTGTTGTACTATTTGTTTTTTAAGACACCAGTTTTAAGCTTTAAGTGCAATTTAAAGGCTTAATTAGGTTAATCACCTTACCTAGGCAAGTTAGGGTAATTAGGCAAGTCGTTGGACAGCAGTAGTTTTTTGCTGGAGCCAATCAAACAAATAATTACTTAAGGGGGCTAATATTATTGACCTTAACAGTTTTTACTTTTAAAAAAATTATTATAATCTTTCAGCCAAACTAAAAGAAAAAAAAAACATTTTCCAGAATAAAAATACAAAAGGAAATGCCGTGAAAACAATTTTCTTGCTCTGTTCAACAGCACTTGTGAAATATTTGTAAAAGAATACAAATTTTAAAGGAGGGAATGTCATATATATATATATATATATATATATTCATATATATGTCATATATATATATATGAGCAATATCACACGAGTAGCAGTGTGATATGGCTGTATATCGGCACTGGTGGGAGGCGTGCGTTGGCCCCCATATCGCACTGCTCGGAGTGTATTGCTTTTATACTACAGTTTGATGCCATAATGTGTATATAAAAACAAAATCAAACATGGAGAGCTTTAAAAAGCCTTTTGTATGATGAACTACTTTTTCCCGGATTCAAATCATAAGCTGACAGTTAAACAGCTGAGCAAACATCTTTTAAACTTTAGATCTGTAGTGTCTGCTTTTTGCTGGCTGTATGTGGGCGGAGTAATACACAAAGGGTAAAGAGGCTGTACGGGTGCTGATATTACTTAAATATATCACGGCTATCAGCCAATCAGATTCACGAAACAGACAGAACTGTTTGGTTCTGTCTGTATATATACAGTATACAGTATATAACATATATATATATACAGTATAGTTACTTTTGTTGCTGTAAAATATTTGTTAAAAATTATTAATTAAAGACAACATTATATGCCTACAGGCATGTGTAAATTCATGTAGTCAATACAAAATCAATAAAAACTGAAAACCAGCATAAATATTGTATTAGGAAATATGAACTTATCAGAAATAAAGGAAATAAACCGCAATGCATACATTTTTTATAAAGTATTTGATTATTTTAGAACTAAATGTACAAATCTTTACAAAAAAAGCACTATATTTAGCGGTATTAGAATGAAAGACAAGAAGCCTGTGCAGTAAGATCCGAAGTGGGCAAAAGGCATTTAAACAGCATGCTTTTGAACTGCAATGTGTGTCTCTCTTGTTTACCTGTAATCCGAACGAGTAAAAGGTGTTATATTAGCGTGTAAGAGGGCAGCATCAGTAAATGTTAAATTTGCAGACTTCCTCTGTCACATCTGCATAGTCATCCTTGTCTTTCTCATAGTATTTTTCATAAACTAGTCCACACACAGTGCGCGAGAGCCTGAAAAAGGCAGCGCTCTGCAGCATGCATGCGCGCAATGGGGAAAAATAGACTGCATCAAAAAGCTCATATTGCGCAATGACAGGAAATAATATAGATCGCGCCACCAAACGCATGAAAGCAAAAGTAACGAGCGTGGTTAAAAAAATCTAAGGAGTAGAAAGTACAGATATTTGTGCAAAAATGTAAGAAATAAAATTAAAAAGTTATTGGTATTTGTACTTCGTTACTTCCCATCTCTGCGCACGCCTCCCACCAGTGCCAATATACAGCCATATTGCACTGCTCGTGTAAGGTGTGTGTGTGTTTGTGTATATATACATATAAATGAGCAATATCACACGAGTAGCTGTGCGATATGGCTGTATAACGGCACTGGTGGGAGGTGTGCGATGGCACGAGGCCGCAGACCGAGTGCCTTAGTGCCCCCACCAGTGCTAATATACAGCCATATCGCACTGCTACAAGTGTGATATTGCGTTTATACAACAGTTTGACGGTATAATTGGGTAACACTTTATAATAACTACACACTATGAACCATTTATTAAGCATTAGCAAATAGTGAATTCATTATTTGTTAAGCATTAACTCTACATTAATAAACGTTAGTAAGCAGTTTATAACTGCAGCTATAAATGCTCTATTCTTGACTTACAACCACATTTATAATGTGTTTAATAATTGTATTTTCATCCTCTGTTAATGATTTATTTTTCATTACTAAATTAAGTATTGCATTATTTACAAAGCAGTTGTATTTAAGAGTAGTTGAAGGTTTTTACGATTATTCAGAATGAATTAGTAAATGATTAATAAACTACCGAAATCAAGGTTTATACATCTTATTATTCAGGCATATATTAATGGTTACTATGTATGTTAACAAATGCTTTATTAACTCAACTCAATGCAGTTTTGTGACCTAATCTAAAGTAAGGACTATTCATGCTTTATAATCCTTATAAATGATAATTAAAGGCTCGATATCAACTGAACAAAAATCATTGCAATCTTATCTAAAAAGTAAAATTACTGTAAATATTAAGCATTGCTGAATAACAGGAGTGTCAAAATACAATATAAAATTGCATAAAACAACAACAATATAATAATTTAACAATATAAAAAGATGCAATGTTTAAACTGTACAGTAATTTTATTTTAGATTAGGTTGCACAGATTTACTTTTCATTTGATACAGTTTGATTTGTATATTTTCAAATGAATAGAAATGAATAATGTTGTTTATTTACTTTAATTTACTTTTATTTTTACTTTTATTTACTTTAATTTCATTTTTAGAATTTTCCTTTGTAAAATTTAACTGACTCTTTAATTGTCATTTATAAGGGATTTATAAAGCATGAATAGTCCTCATTTTAGATTAGGTCACAAAACTGGATGAAATTGAGGTCATTAATTTATTAACGTATTAGTTAACAATTAATATATGCCTGAATAATACGACATATAAATGTTGATTTCAATAGTTTATTTATGATTTACTAACTCATTCTGAATGATCTTAAAAAACCACCAACTATGCTTAAATAACTGGTTTGTAAATAAGGCAATACTTCATATAGCAATGAAAAATAAATCATTAACAAAGTATGAAAATACAATTATTAAACACATTATAAATGTGGTTGTAAGTCAAGAATACAGCATTTATAGCTGCAGTTATAAACTGCTTACTAACGTTAATTAATGTACAGTTAATGCTTAACAAATAATGAATTCACTATTTGCTAATGCTTAATAAATTATTCACACTGTGTAGTTATTATAAAGTGTTACCCATAATTGTGTATATTAAAACAAAATCAAAAACGGAGAATTTCAAAAACCCTTTTGTATGTGGAACTACTTTCTTCTACATTGGATTCAAATCATAAGCTGACAGTTAAAACAGTTGAGCAAGCATCTTTTGAACTTTAGATCTGTAGTGTCTGCTTTTTGCTGGCTGTATGTGGGCAGAGTAATACACAAAGGGTAAAAAGGCTGTAGGAGTTCTGATATTGCAGAATATCGCACGGCTATCAGCCAATCAGATTTGAGAACCAGACAGAACTGTTGTATATACACTCACACACACACACACACACACACACACACACACACACACACACACACACACACACACATATATATGTGTGTGTGTGTGTGTGTGTGTGTATATGTATGTATGTATATATATGTATATGTGTGTGTGTGTATATGTGTATATATAATTTTTTATTTTTTTTATGCTAATTTGAAAGCTTTTTTCTTCAGCTCTTTTTTTTGGAAGAGAAGAGGAGACAGTGCCTTGAGGACTTGGCAGCACTCATCCAGAAGATCTACCGTGGCTGGAAATGTCGCACTCACTTTCTCCTTCTGAAAAAGAGCCAGGTGGTTGTGGCAGCCTGGTACCGAAGATTTGCGGTGAGCTGCATTTATATCACCTTCTATAGGAACCATTTAGAGAGAGACATTTTTTTAATTGCAAGATGGTGACTTAAGATGTTTTTTTTTTATTGTTTTTGTTTTTTAAATGCAGCAACAAAAGAAGTACCAGAAAATCAGGTGTTCTGCCTTAGTAGTTCAATCTTTCATTCGTGGATGGAAGGTAGGTTTCATATTCTGCAGTTTCCAAAAACAAACAAAAGGTCTTTTCTCATTCAAGTTTTTTTATAGGCCCGGAAGCTTTTGCGTGAACTAAAACACAAGAAGCGATGCGAAGAGGCTGTCACAACAATTTCAGCTTATTGGCATGGAACCCAGGTAATGAACACAGTTTCTCATTCTGTAAAGTGATGAAAACTTTTACTGTGGGGTTTGATTTTCAACATTAGAGCTTCTTTGCTGCTTTTGCTTACTATTTTCTCTCTAGTCCAAATTTTCACTTCTGCTTTTGATGCAGTTTACTCTTCAGTCACTCTTTTCTTGTAATATGTCTAATATTTTATTCTTTGCTATACTGTCTCTGCTTCGACGTGGCAAATGTCAAATCCCCAGGCTCGCTGGGAACTGCGTCGTCTTAAGAAGGAGGCATGGAATAAACATGCCGTGTCTGTCATTTGGGCAGCTTGGCTTGGAACAAAGGTATTTAAAGAGCTTGCCAATAGTCATCCCCCATCCCACCTCATCAAGCTTCGAATGACTCCTCTTTTGTTTAGATGTGACTAACTCTGTTTTATCATATGTAGATAGCTGCTTTGGGGAAATAATTGGGAAATATATATTGTTAATTTGCTGACATTAAGTTGGAACATCTGTATGCAAATAAAAGCATTTAAGTGAATGCTTGAATCATATGTTCTTAGAACTAACCCCTTTCTCATATTCTACTTTATAACTTTTTGCAGTATTTACTGTCCAATGATGGCTTGCATGAACAACTTAACAATACATTTTAGTGTGTCAATAATTTGGTAAAAAAAATTAGTTCTGATGGAAACACAACGCCGGTAGTTAAATGTGGCAATTGTCATTTATACCCTGCCGTTTTATGTATTTCTAAATATGTTTTTGGTGCATTTAAAAAAATAAATAAATAAAAATTGAGACAACTTTAGGACTAGCAGGTTAATTCATTAAATTCAAACCTAAATAATAAAAACTAATTTGTTTTTTCTATCTTGATTTTTTTTCCTGTTAATTATAATTGTATTTAATGTCCTTCCCCAACATATTAATGTGGGTGTACTAATATTAGGCTTTCAACGTTTTGTTTTTTTCGTCATAACATTTTTTTGTCAGAAGAGCAAGACTTTTTTTTTGTCTTAAAATGTTTTACAGCACTGAATTAAAACACTCGTGTGCTTTTAACACATTTTCTTAATACTTTTCTGCCCTCATCTTTGGAAAAAGGCAAGAAGAGAACTGCAAAAGTTAAAGCATGAAGCTTGTAGTAAACAGGCAGTGTCTGTCATTTGGGCCTGCTGGCAAGGAACAAAGGTATTCTCCTTTACGTCTGTGTGACATCTATTTATTTATTTATCCATTCATTCATTCATTCATTCATTCATTCATTCATTTGTACCTGAGGCGACTATGAGGACCATGACCAATTTACTATGAGCTTATCCTATATGTTATGCATGCCAACATGCTCAAGACCCTACAGCATGAATCATACGTTCAGTCATACTTTGAACAGGGAGAGTTATATTAGCAGGGGTTGAAGTTCGAAGCCTGCTCGGAACAGGTAGACGAGAGCCATTCATGGCTGATACTTATTTATTTGTTTTTATTATTTGTTTGACAAAGAAAGCTGTTCAAGGACACAACATTCACTCATTTATACATAGGTAGGATTTTATTATTATTATTATTAAAATCAAATAAATTACAATGACCACACACCGCTCTGACAAAAAGGGCAAGGCCCCCAACCTGCCCAGTAAGATTATTATTATTATTATTGTTATTATTATTATTGTTATTATTATTCTCTGGTACATTTCATTTTACAGTAATATGTTTATTGAAACATTATAAATGTTTTAGAACTTCAGTGTAACAACTTAAACAGTTGTTGTTGCTTTTGTTAACAACATTTTAGTTTTATTAACTTTATTTGGCTTAAACTGTACTGTTAAAAAACATTGATATTATAAAATCTTTTGGGGGAGTTTTATCTGTCAAGATGTCAGGATTCATATGTAAGCAATTAATGTATTTGTATGAAGTGATGCTTTGATTTCTGGCTGATAAAAGAAAACACCTTGATTTTTTGCAAAACCGTTGATAAAATTATTCTTATTAGTAAGTAATTGTAGCAAACCACTAAAATGCTTTCATTTAATGTAGTGTAATTGTCTTTATTTATAATAACAGGAGATTTCTGATTGCTTTCTGAATAACCTCATGACACTTGAGTACCTTTGGTGTAAATTATATTGTTTAGATGTACATGTCTTTTCATTCCATTCTCAAGCCCATGCACATCCTTTTTGCATGTTGCGTTCACTTTTGCACTGTTGTTTTCTTCCACCCTATTTGAGTGACCTTTGCCTTCTTAAGCTGTGTGTGGCTTGTTTTATTGTGTTTGTATGTTGTGTGCCTTAAGAGACCAATTGTACTCTTACTTTTTTTATTGCTCCTTTTCCCCTTGTTTTCACTCATGTTTTGTTAATCCCATGAAATAAATATCCACAGGAAAACCTTGATGATGTCCAACTGTCTTAACCAGCACCAAATATAGAGCATCTTATGCAGCTGAAGTGCAAATTTGTGTGATGTGTGGACCTGGCTTTTTGCTTCTGCTTAGCGCTCCGATTCCTCTGTACCTTTCAGCATTCATGCGCATCTCCCTCCCTCCTTCACAGGCACGTAGAGAGCTGAAGCGCTTGAAGGAGGAAGCCAGGCGTAAACACGCCATTGCTGTCATTTGGGCCTACTGGTTGGGACTAAAGGTATATTCCAACCATCGCCTCTTGCCAGGCATGGAAACGAGTAGGACGCATAAACATAAGTTTAATAAGTGTCACTTAACTAGCTGTAGTATACTAACAATATAATCTAACCCCAGAGTTAATTTCCACAGGTCCATTTTTGCCCAAGTCAGTGACAAAAATATAGCTGTGGTGAAATGTTAAAGGTTTATTTCACTTCTAGAACAAAAGTTCAAAGTTAATTAAATAATGTTCTTTACAAGTCACTCTTTCATCATTATATATAGGGGACATGTAAAAGCCTGCCAGTTACTGCTTGACCATAGTCTAAACACCAAGATGCAAGATGGTAGGGCACCACACAGTCAGGCAGTGCTACAACACAGTCACTGGCAACAAATGAGCAATCAGTTAAAAAATGTATGTTTGAAAATGACTGATTGCTTCCCTAGATAAGATATTAATTTCTCATATGAGATTGTTATGAGCCTTTTGGAGCTACATTTAAACTGCATTTTGGAATTTCAACCTTTATTAGAGTCCACTATATGGAAAAAATCCCTGAAATGTTGTCTTCAAAAAATACATAAAAAATTATTTATGACTGAAGAAAAAATAACATCTTGGATGGCAAGAGGTTAGTAAATCACAGTGCATCCGGGAAATATTCATAGTGCTTCACTTTCCACATTTTTTGTGTTTCAGCCTAATTCTAAAATGGATTAAACTCATTTATTTCCTCAATTCTACACACAATACCCTATAATGTCTATGTGAAAAAAATAAAATAAAATAATAATTGTTGCAAATTTCATACGAAAAAAAAAACTGACAAATCACATGTACATAAGTATTAATAGCCTTTGCTATGAAGCTCTAAATTGAGCTCAGGCACATTCTGTTTCCCCTGATCACTCTTGAGATGTTTCAGCAACTTAATTGGAGTTCACCTGTGGTAAATTAAATTGAATGGACATACTTAGAAAATGCATACACCTGTCTATATAAGATCCCAGGGATTGACAGTGCATGGCAAACCACAAACCATGCATGAAGACAAAGGAATTGTCTGTAGACCTCCGAGACAGGATTGTCTTGAGGCACAAGGCTGGGAAAAGTTACGGAAAAAATCTTCTACTCTGAAAGTTCCAATGAGCACAGTAGCCTCTATCATCCAAAAGTGGAAGATGTTTGGAATTACCAGGACTCTTCCTTGAGCTGACCGGCCATCTAAGTTAAGTAATTGGGGGAGAAGGAAGGTGATCAATAACCCGATGGTCACATTGTCTGAGCTCCAGCATTCTTCTGTGGAGAGAGGAGAACCTTACAGAAGGACAACCATCTTTGCAGCAATCCACAAATCAGGCATGTTTGGCAGAGTGGCCAGAAGGAAGACACTCCCATAAGAAACAAAATTCTCTGATCTGATGAAAATAAAATTGAACTCTTTGGAGTGAATGCCAGGCGTTATGTTTAAAGAAAACCAGGCATCGTTTATCACCAGGCTAATACCATCCCTACAGTGAGGCATGGTGGTGGCAGCATCATGATGTGAGGATGTTTTTCAGCAGCAGGAACTGGAAGACTAGTCGGATTGAAGGAAAGATGAATGCAGCTATTCAAATCCTGAATGAAAATCTACTTTGGTGTGCTCTTGACCTCAGAGTGGGGTGACGGTTTATCTTCCAGCAGGACTATGACCCAAAGCATTATGCCAAAAAAATATTAGAGTGGCTTCACAACAACTCGGTTGGATTTTCTATGAGTGGCCCAGTCAGATTCCAGACCTAAACTCTATTAAACATCTCTGGAAAAATCTGAAAATGGCTGTACACTTTCGCTTCCCATCCAACCTGGTAGAGTTTGAGAGATATTGCAAAGAGGAATGGAAAAAAAATTCCCGTAGACCTGTGCATCATGTTCAAAAAGACTTGAGGCTGTAATAGCTGCCAAAGGTGCTTCAACAAAGTATTGAGCAAAGGGTGTGAATATTTATGTACATGTGGTTTTTCAGGTTTTTTCTAAAAATCTTTTTCCACATTGTCATTATGGGGTATTGTGTGTAAAATGTTAAGGAAATAAATTTATTTTATTAGGCTGTAACAAAAAAAAAATGTGGGGGAAAAGTGAAGTGTTATGAATTTTTTCTGGATGCACTGTGTGTGTAATTTAATTTTTTGTTCTAGAAGTGTACACATCATTAAACACATGACTCTGGTGTGTCTGCATAAAGCAGAATTACATTTGTTATCATAATCTATAACTTTAGAAAAGTTATAGTTTTGGCAGGTTTTTACCTTTTTTATTCATAAACTTGGGCAATGGGTAAAACAGCTTTGGCTTGACCCTGCAAAGAATGCCTGAATGTGCTTCTTTCTATTCTGTTCTGTTTTACGACCAGTTGGTTGACTGTCTGGGGCATACCATAAAATGTTAAATCCATGTTTTGATGACATTTAAAGAATGATTTACTTCATTTGCTAAAACAATCAACCATTAGAATAAATACAATTAATAGAGGTCTAAATGACTTGCTGATTAGATTAATTATTTATTATAAAAATTCTTTATTATAAAATAATTTAAATATTTTTTTTTTTTTAATCACACTTGTGCAATTACAATTTGATATACAATAAATGGTCTGGATGAATACAAATATCAATTTAGATGCAGCTTCTGTAGAAAAATATATGGCTGTTGGAGTCTAAACTTTTTCTGTATTATAAATCCTATAAACACTTCTTTTTGTAAATGTCTGTTTGGGTATTTTTCTCACACTGTTAATTAGATTAGTTTGCAAATTGTTAAAAAAAAAAAGCTGTTTTTAAATGTCTGTTGTTTTTGTTTCTAGTCCTTGCAGACTGACAGTTTTATACTCTACATCCGGGGTACCAATCCTGCTCCTGGAGGGCCGGTGACCCTGCAGTGTTTAGCTCTATTTTGCCTCAACACACCTGCCTGGGTGTTTCAAGTATACCTAGTAAGACCTTGATTAGCTGGTTCAGGTGTGTTTGATTAGGGTTGGAGCTAAAATCTGCAGGACACCGGCCCTCCAGGAACAAGTTTGATGACCCCTGCTCTACATTGTCTTTTTTTCTTCTTTCAGTGCATAATTAGTTTTTCATTTTCATGCATTTTTTTTTCAAACAGGACATAAATTGTTTATACTTGACAGAATTTATTTCTCTATAAAACTAAATATGCATTGGGAGAAAAGAAAGAGACCATGTAAAGTATAAAACTTTGATTTTGCAAGGAAAAGAAACACATGTAACATAAATTAAAAAAAAACAGTAGCTTGTTTTTTTTAACAATTTACAAACTAATCTAATTAACTGCATGTGAAAATCGCCAAGCAGACATTTACAAATAGTTTTACACAGAAAAAAGTTTAGACTCAAACCTTTACTGCATTTCACATTTTAATTGCACAATTGTGGATTTTTTATTATTTAAATTATTTTTATAATAAAGATTTTTTCTAATAAATAATTAATCTAATCAGCAATTCAATGAGACATCTACTTATTGTTTTTATTCTAATAGCTGATTATTTCAGCAAATGAAGTAAATAATTCTTTGAATAACCTAAATAAATGGATATTAGGATTTCGCCCCAATGTGTAAGGGTTTCTATTTGCCTAAAATACCCTTGTTTTCTGTTTGTTTTTAGGTGTCTGTCCTGTCTGATGTCTGCATGCTGCTACTAACATACTCTTGGCTTTCACAGGCATTTGTTTTTTTCTCCGCCCTCCCATAATGTTTTACTGTTTCTTTTTTTGTGTGTATATCTTTGTATAAGCATCTTACGGGTGATCTCCATCTTTTCTGGAAAAGATAATTGAGTACAGATGTACTATATGACTGTAGAAGGTGGTTTTGATCACATTACTGTTTCTGTTCTGCCCGCTTCCAACTTTCATCACAAACTTTTGCAGCACATAGAAGAGAGCATAACTGAACAATTGTTTTACAGGTTCGTCGGGAGTACAGGAAGTTCTTCAGAGCTAATGCTGGCAAGAAGATCTATGACTTCACCATCCAGAGAATTGTAAGTCACTTAAGAAGTTAATTATTGAATACAGTTTTATAATCCAGAAAGAAGACTTACTTGTTGGTAGGTCAATATTTATCTTCTAATTTACAAAAGTTTCTGACAAGTCCAGTTTTAATAGGGAGCATGGTTTGCTTAAACTATTTAAAACAAAGTGTTTCTGCTTCACTTTTTCTATTTTTTATTCTAGGTAGATAAGGTAAAATCCCCTCTGCTAAATCCATAGAAGTGTAGATTACTTTTTCCATGTAATCTTTATGTGGCTTACAAAGTACATTAAATAAACAACTAATTGGTGCTACCTTTTGGAAATGTATTACCTACACTTAGTCACCTGAGAAGAAAGAAAATGATTTAATAAAAGACTGGATCCAATAAAAGATCCAATGAAAGTTCCGAGCTCCTGTTTTGTCTACAGATACAGAAGTACTACCTAGGCTTGAAGAAGACAATGCCTTCCATGTCACCGATCGATAAGAGCTGGTCAACTTGTCCCTATGGTTTCCTTGATGGGACACATCAAGAACTCAGGAGAATTTTCCATCTGTGGAGGGTCAGTATTACTAGATGACATTAATTGTGAGAATGAGAAAAAATTCTGTCATGTCAAATTTAAATCATTTATAACCCCCTTGTGGTGTCCCTCAATCAGTGTAAGAAATATCGCAGCCAGTTCACAGAGGAGAAGAAGGCTACCTATGAGGAGAAGCTTGCAGCCAGTGAACTCTTCAAAGATAAAAAAGCCTTGTATCCTAGCAGGTAGAGCAAAGAGCAGTTTACCTAATTTCCTTTATGTATAGTACCTTTGTTAAACATATATCTGCTCTATACCATTTCATTCTAACAATGGATATCCTCTGCTTTTACAGTGTCAGTCAACCTTTTAAAGGAGACTATGTGGAGATAACTAAGAATCCAAAGTACCAGAAGCTCAACAGCTTGGTAGAGGACAAAGTTCTTCTTGCAGATGTTGTCAGTAAAATCAACCGGGCCAATGGCAAGGTACGTACTGTTAGTTCTGTGTCCAGGGTTGACTTATTACAGTTAGATAGTCATTGTAACTGCTCAAAAATCTTATTAAATCGGCATCATTTGTAATTTGCTCCATCAACTATTTGTGACATACAAACTTGATACAAAAAAATCCCTGAAACCAGCTAGTAATCTAGCATTAGGTGGGTTAGACTCGTATGGACAGCTAAACTTGCAATGCTCAGATATTGTCTAAAAGCAAAGCATACCTGCATTTGACACTCTTTATTCATTTACATTTTACATTTTAGTCATTTAGCAGACGCTTTTATCCAAATCGACTTAAAAATGAGGACAAGGAAGCCATTTACACAACTAAGAGCAACAATGATTAAGTGCTATAGGCACGTTTCAGGTCTGTAAAGTCTAAGAAGGGAAGTATTAGTAGTATTAGAATTTTTTTTTTTTTTTTTGGTACAGTTAGTGTGATATTCAGAGAGGCAATTGCAGATTAGGAAGTGAAGTGGAGACTAAATAGTTGAGTTTTTAGTCGTTTCTTGAAAATAGCGAGTGACTCTGCTGTTCTGATGCAGTTAGGGAGATCATTCCACCAACTGGGCAGATTGAGCGTGAGCGACAGTGATTTCTTCCCTCTTTGGGATGGAACCACGAGGTGACGTTCATTTACAGAACGCAAGTTTCTGGAGGGCACATAGATCTGCAGAAGTGAGAGCAGATAAGAAGGAGCAAGGCCAGAAGTCACTTTGTAGGCAAACATCAGAGCTTTGAATTTGATGCGAGCAGCAACTGGCAGCCAGTGCAAACGGACTAGCAGCGCAGTGACATGTGCTCGTTTAGGTTCATTGAAGACCACTCGTGCTGCTGCGTTCTGGAGCAGTTGAAGAGGCTTGATAGAGTTAGCTGGAAGCCCAGCTAGTAGAGAGTTGCAGTAATCCAGTTTGGAGAGAACAAGAGCTTGAACAAGGAGTTGAGCTGCATGTTCAGATAAGAAGGGTCGGATCTTTCTGATGTTATAGAGTGCGAATCTGCACGATCGAGCAGTTCTAGAAATGTGGTCAGAGAAGTTTAGTTGGTCATCAATCGTTACTCCAAGGCTTTTCACCATTTTGGATGCAGTAATGGTTGCCCCATCCATCTGGATTGAAAAGTTATGGTGTAGAGTCGGGTTGGCAGAAACTACAAGCATTTCCGTTTTTGTGAGGTTCAGCTGAAGATGATGATCTTTCATCCAGTGTGAAATATCCAACAGGCAGGCTGAGATGCGAGCTGGAACCGAGGGATCATCAGGATGAAAAGAGAGGTATAGCTGGGTATCATCAGCATAGCAGTGGTAGGAGAATCCATGTCTCTGGATGACTGGTCCTAGAGATGATGTGTAGATGGAGAAGAGCAGTGGCCCAAGAACAGAGCCTTGAGGTACCCCAGTGTTTAGATGCTGTAGGTTGGACACCTCTACCCTCCAAGACACCCTGAATGACCTGTCAGAGAGGTAAGATCTGGACCATTGTATAACAGTGCCCACCACGCCCAGTGGCTCGAGCGTAGATAGCAGGATCTGGTGGTTGACAGTGTCAAAAGCAGCTGACAAGTCCAGCAAAATGAGGACTGATGATTTAGAGTCTGCTTTAGCCAGTCTGAGATCCTCCACGACCGAGAGCAGGGCAGTCTCAGTTGAGTGGCCTTTCTTAAAGCCGGATTGCTTGTTGTCCATGAGATTGTTTTGAGTAAGAAAGTCCAGGACTTGATTGAACACTACTTTCTCCAGAATCTTGGCCATGAATGGAAGCAGGGATACTAGTCTGTAGTTTTCAAGTAGCGTATGGTCCAGGTTGGGTTTCTTTAGCAGTGGGGTTACCCTAGCCTGCTTAAATGAAGTGGGGAATAAACCAGAGTCAAGAGATGTGTTAATTATGTGAGTCAGTGTTGGTATGACTGCAGGAGAGATGGCTTGCAAGAGATGAGAGGGAATGGGATCGAGTGGACAGGTGGTTGCATGGCTAGATAGCACGTTTTTGGACACCTCAGACTCAGAGAGCTGAGAAAAAGAGGTGAGTGTGTGTGGTGTTGGTGGTGTATCTTGCGTGTTTGTTGTAGGTGCAGCAAATTGAGCACTGATTTTTGCAGTTTTGGTGCAAAAGAATGTAGCAAAGTCATCGGAAAATGTTTTAAAAAGTAGGCGAGGATTCGTGGCATTGTTGATTTTCAGACGGTAATATGTCTGCTTTGCAGAAGTAACCTCAGCTGAGAAAGAGGACAGAAGAGTTTGGTATGTTGTTTGGTATGTTAAGAGCTGTGCAGGATTTTTTTTTATTCAAAATCCATAAATCCAAATACATGCAAGTGGTACATATGGTTGAAGATGTCATACAGTGCAAACCTGGATATACCTAGGCATAGCTGAACAATAAGAATTTAGTACATGCAAATGACACACTGAGGCTTAGGCTCCATTGTTTCCTTGTTCTCATGTGCTGTAAGTGTCATGAGTGTAAAATCCTGGTGATATACTGTTCACATGATATGAATAATATATCCTTGGCTGTATTTGAGCATATAATAAACTTACAATCTATGTGGGACTCTTATTTTGAAAAAAAGAGAGAAAAAAAAAACTAAGGCCAAAGGCTATTGAATAAGGGTACTTAAGCTCACTCTGCCATGCTATGTGTTTTACATTGTTTTCAATACACTGCTAAGTAATTTTAGGAAAATGCTGAATGGCAGTGCTGGTGTGCAAGCAGTACATTTATTACAAACAATCTTTAGAATTTTAAAAGACATATTGTATGGCTCTGGGATTTGCACCAGACGTGCAATGAACTATAATAAGGAGCAGTTCTTTTAGGGTCTGGTCATAAGGTCTATTTATATGTATCTTTTGTTAGTTTAAGCTGTATTTATAAACATTTCTAATTAGGCTACAAACACATGTAACCTGATGAGTATGTGTTCAATACACATTTATGCATCATGTCAATCAGTCTCACTCCTTAATCAGTATTAAATTTAAGTAATTGAAGGTAAATTGTAGTTATGTTTACTCTTTCAGCCTAAGCTTTGCATTTTAAGTCTACTAATTAACTTTTAAGGGAACGCCCAGAATTTTCCTCCTGACCAAGAAGTGCCTGGTTCTGGCTGATCAGAAGACAGGTCAGGTGAAAGCCAGCGTTCCCCTGCCAGACCTCAGCAGTGTTTTTGTGAGCACACAAAACGATGGCTTCTTTGCTCTTAAGCTTAGAGAGGTATGACATATTATAACTTGCATTATATTGGGCACCATGTGAGTCAGGAACTCCTTTTAACATGCTCTCTCTTTAGGGTGCTACATCTGCAGCCAAAGGTGACTACCTGCTTAGCAGTGACCGACTGATCGAGATTATAACCAAACTTTACTGCACTGGTGCAGCTTCAGCTGAAAGGAACCAGATCAAAATTGATATTTCAGATGAGTAAGTGTCCAGCATTTCTGTGCATCATGTTTTGTTTTGTTCTCTAAGTTTCACTCTTATAGTATAACATTTTCTCTCTCCATTTTAGGTTCTTGGTACAGTTTAAGCAGGACAAAGTTTGCGTAAAATTCATCCAGGGTACTCCTAAGAACAGTAATAGTGTCTCATGCAAGCGTAAAAACAATCGTCTTCTGGAAGTGTCTGTTCCATCACCATAAGGATCAATCAGCTTATTCCACTGTAAGGATGTCACTTCTAAGATTCTTCACCCTCCACCAATCCCATAATGATTGTGCAATTATCTTGATCCTATCATTTTTTGTTCTCTATAGTCAAAACAACAGATTTTCACACCTGATATTGTACAGCTTTCCAATGTCAAATGTGGGATGAACATTTATATTTCTCTTTTCAAAGTTCTTGGGACTCATGAGTCTGGTCTTTAATTGTAAAAATAATTGTGATTACAGTAAAATGGTTTCTGGCAGACATCCATCTGGTGAATCTTACATCAACCTCTGATCCGCATTTGCAGTCTTTGTACCATTGTGGTTGCATTAGCCTCCCATTGAGCAAAATTGTGTACATAGAGATGCTGAAAGGGTTTTGTTGGGCTTCTAGAAAGATGCTGAAAAGCTATAAAAATTGAATACTGCACTTTTTCAATGGAGTAGTGGTAAGGACTTGGATTGCTGGTTGATGTGTTAATTTTTCTGTTGTGTACAGTTCTCATCCTGCATTTTAATGCAGAAAAGTAATTTTTTGAAAAAAAATACTCTAACTTCGCCAAATGAAAAAGTATTCTGTGATCCAAACTCTAGTGCCATTTAGCTGTCTCTTCCCTAGAGAAAGAAATTATCTTGTATGAAAGTGTAGAAGGTTCAGACACGTTTTTTACAAGCCAAATAGTTTTATAATAATTAATAATTATTTTGTTTATTATTATTATTATTTCAGTTTATTGATAATTGCCAAACAATATAATTTAAAATTCTTTTCACATGTATTATGTTTATCAGTTCTTTCTTTACTTTAAATCAGAGTATAGTTTATCGAAATTTAGTATATTAGAAATGCAGTATTTGGCAATTTGCCTGTAAATTTGGATTTAAAATGCCAAAGACTGACAATGGCCCTGCATTTATTATTATACGGTGCTTTAAAGACCTTCCCTTAAAAGTAAACCCAATTGCATTGTGTGAAATTGACTAAGAGTAACAGGAAGATGTCATTCGCATGTCAGGGTTGATTTAGATCTGTAATCAAGTGATAGTGTTGGTGAGGCCTCACAGAAGAAAACTTGACATTAATCTCAATACTACAACTATGACTGGTATGATCTTCCCCAAGTTATCTTCAGTTAGTCCCTTTACCTAAATCTGCTTGGATGGAGGCTAATAATAGGTATATTATGTCCTATACTGTATCTTGGCTATTTTTTGCCACTGGAATGTGGGCTGCATCACTTTTTTAATCACTCACATGTTATTAATAAATCCTTTCAAGGCCTGACATCTTGTTTTGTTGACTTTTTTTTTTAAACCATGCTTTCTTTGAATGCAAGACACACTGTTGCCCAAGTATATTTGGTTTATCGTAATTATTGTGATTGTGAATAATACTTTTTTGTCAGTCATATTTAAGGAAATATTTCCCACATTGTTTTAGTGGACTTTTTGTATTTTTGATCTCCTGAAGACAATGGCCACTAAAGTGATGACTTCTGCTTTAGTTTCTTAATGCTTTTTGATGTGTTTTTGTTATTCTTTACATAAATGCACAACAAGAGATTGTATTGTCTTCCTCTTCAGGATGTTTGTGGAAGCTGATTTACTTTATGATCAAGAAATCTGAAATATGTCTGTCTTTTATGCAGGAAGCCTTGGGTTCTTCTCTTTTCTGTCAGATGCTGAATTGAAGAGAGCAGAGAAATTGTTGTATGCATTTTTTGTGTATTTAAATGTAACCTGTTCTGAAAGACATGAAAATGTTGCATAACTATTAAGTATAATAAGTGAATTTTTTTTTAATTGAAGCAAAAAATAAATAACTTTGGATAATCAGTGTGGCTTGTTTGATAATGCTGATTAAATTTGTTAAGTTTAATTTGAGGGTTTATCAATTCAGTAAAAAAAAAATTTAAACAGGTGTCATTAATGATTCTTTATTACAGTTTTTCTCGATTGCTATAACTCTTACCAACCTTTTGAACTACAATTTCAAAGCTATGATGCCTATTTTGAAAAAAAAAAAAAACATACCCTAAACTTTAAATACTATTTCCTGCTTTGACGTGAATTACATTTGGTGAACTTTTACTAAAAAACTACTCACAAATCTCAAAAATTTAAAGTGCTTACACAATGGTCATTCAGAAAGCACAAGCATTCAAAAATGTTAATTCAAGTAACAACAGCCTGAGCTCAGTTAGCACACAATTAACCAACTGGAAAGACTGAGAGTTAAAATTCACACATATCACACATTCACACATATCACACATCAATCTGAAACTTTGATGGATAGATGAAAAGTTCAATAATGCATCCAAAGAGAAGAGGTAAAGGACACCAGAGTGGAGGAGGAAAATGATGACGAGGAAGAGCGAAAGCACGGAGGACCAGCAGTTTTGGATGAAGGTCCAGCCACTTTAGTTGACCATGTCATACTGTATACCCAAGGTTTTCTAACATGTTTCTGCCTGCATACTCTATAAACCCAATAGAGGATTTTATTTTTTTATTAATTTATTTTTTTGCATGGCGGTAGAACGTGTATGAATGAGTTAGACATTTGACATTTAAAAAAAAAAAATCCTCTTTTATCCAGATTTCTGCTTTAACCAAGAAAATGGGACTTTAAACAGTCTATTGCTTTGTGTTGCTGTCTTTACTGCAGATAAAGTTTGTATGTTGGCTACTTGTCAGTATTTGTCAAATAAATATTTCTGATGTTTACACAGGTGCTGAACATTTTTTATGAAATATTTATTATTTATATTTAGATATTTTTATTTAATATTTATATTTTTTCGTGTACTGAAGAATAACTAATAAATAAAACTGTGTGTTTTACTGTGGTTGTTTACAGTGGACAGCTGATTCACAATCATTTAATATTATTCAAATTCTCAAACTCCACAAAGAAACCTCAACTGACCCAGCCGAGGCTCGAACCAGCGACCTTCTTGCTGTGAGGCGACAGCACTACCTACTGTGCCACTGCGTCATGTGACATATACAGTAAAATTGATTTAGATAGACTGAGGGTGGGGAACGATGAGGAGGAAAGGGGCCCTTTATTATCAGAGGACCAAGAGAATTATCATAAACATGGTTTTGGCCAATAATTTGATGTTTTAGAAAAATTCACACAAATAATAGTAAAATAACATCCTAAACCACCGAAGAGTTTGCAGTATTAATTTATTGCGTACTATCATCTGTTTTGGTTTTTCAGTGCAAAATGTAAATGCAGCATGTATAAACTGAATGAATTTACGATGTGGAGATGAAAAAAAAAATTACTAGTTTTGGAAATATTGTTTTTTATTAATTGCAGTGTGCAAGACTATGCTGTAGTGCGAGTGTGTTTCCTTGTGTGTGATGTCTGAGGGCAGAATTTGTTTTGTTTTGTTTTTTTTTTAGCAAGAGTAAATGGTTTGAGTGTGAATGATTTTGGGTTTCATTTTAACATGACAATAGGATGTTTGAGAAATTTGGTGAGACATCATGAATTTGTGTTTACTGTTTTGGGAATATAAAGGAAAGTTTCAAGAATGTCAAGCAATCAAGAAAAACTCAAGAAGGAAGTTGTCAGTTGTGTCTGTATAAAGGACCCAAAAGCAGAGGAGTTCAATTCAACAAGGTTTTTTAATAAAATAAGCAAAAAGAAAGTGACTCAGCGCTTGCTGAGATCCCAGAGCAGATCTTGAACTTTAGTAAAAAATAAACTGAAAATTGGACCACAGGCAATGTTCAACAGTACAGGAAAAATACCAACAAAAATTAGTAGCACCACATGAAAAAGAAAAATAAGGAGTGGGCTAAATTTCAATCAAAAAATAAAGTTAGTTTTTGGTCCAGGCCTGGTAATGCAGGAGAAGGGCAATGGCAACGCAAAAGATCAGCTCTCCAGTAGGGCAGACCAAATCCGGGATGGATCCAGGGAACTGGACAGAGAACACAATGATAATACAACAGACCGACAAGAAGGCTGTAAGAAATCCAACACTCTGACAAAAGGAGAAGCGAAACACCCTCAGATATAGGAGCAGCAATTAGCAGAAATGAAAGGCAGCTGGCAGTAACATGTGTGGCTACTAATTGTAAAAGACGATCAGCTGAGTAAAGTTACACAGCAATTTGGAGACAAATTAGAATGTTGTCAGTAAGGAAAGATAGAAAACGCTGTCAGAAAAGAAAGAGGGCAAAGTTCAAACCCGGGTTCTGACAGTACCCCTCTCCCCAGGAACGCCTCCCGGCGTACCCGAGATTTGAGGCAACTGCCGATGGTGGAATTCCTCAATGAGCGCATGGTCCAGAATGTCCCGAGCTGGGACCCAACATCTCTCTTCTGGGCCGTACCCCTCCCAATCTACTAGATATTGAAAACCTCTACCTCGCCTCCTTGAATTAAGAATCTTTCTGACGGTGAAGGCTGGAGAGCCTTCAACCATCAGGGGAGGAGAGGGTGTAGAAGAAAGGGGGGAGTGGGGAGAACGCAAGACAGGTTTGACACAAGAAACATGGAAAACAGGGTGGACACGGCGTAGACTCCGGGGTAGCCGAAGCCGCACCGCCACCGGACTGATCACCTTGGTAATGAGGCATGGTCCAATGAATCGGGGTGCCAATTTACGAGCAGGGACCCGAAGTGGCAGGTCCTTAGTGGAGAGACACACCTTTTGACCACAGACATATTTGGGTGCATCAGCTCGGTGGTGGTCAGCAGTTCTCTTGGTGCGTTCCCTGGTCCGCAACAGTGCCTGCCTGGCCCTTTTCCAGGTGCGGCGGCAGCGTTGAATAAATGCTTGGACCGAGGGAACGGCAGCATCGGCCACCCGGGAAGGAAACACAGGGGGTTGGTAACCAAGACAACACATGAAAGGAGACAGCCCAGTCGACGACACCGGAGTTGTGAGCATATTCTGCCCACACCAACTGCTGACTCCAGGAAGAGGGGTTATGGGAAGCCAGGCATCGGAGCATCCGCCCAAGATCCTGGTTTGCACGCTCAGTCTGGCCGTTGGTCTGTGGATGGAATCCTGACGACAGACTAGCAGTAGAACCAATCTGTCGGCAGAACTCCCTCCAAAAGTGGGAAATGAACTGGGGCCCCCTGTCAGAGACCACATCCTCTGGAAGACCATGAATCCGGAAGACATGGTCCACGACCACCCGGGCCATCTCCCTAGCAGATGGAAGTTTGGGGAGGGGAATGAAGTGGACCGCCTTGGAAAAGCGGTCCACCACAGTGAGGATCACAGTATTGCCATCGGATGGAGGGAGACCAGTGACAAAATCCATGGCAATATGTGACCAGGGGCGGGAGGGAATGGGGAGAGGATGAAGCAGACCAACGGGACGAGAATTAGAGGATTTATTTTGAGCACAGACCGAGCATGCACCCACAAACCGGCGGATGTCCTCCACCATGGCTGGCCACCAAAAGCGCTGACGAACGGCAGCCAGCGACCTCCTTACGCCTGGATGGCAAGCGAACCTGGAGGAATGACCCCACCGAAGGACAGCTGCTCGGGCCGACACAGAAACATACAACAGACCCACCGGACATCCCTTGGGCACCTGGACTTTGGCTAAGGCTCGCCTGACAAGGCCCTCAACACCCCAGATAACAGCCCCCACCACATGGCCCCTGGGCAAAATGGTATCAGGGTGGGGATTGCCATACGGAGTGCCAAAGCATCGTGACAAGGCATCTGGTTTACCATTCTTAGAACCAGGTCTGTAAGAAAGAGTAAAATTAAAGCGCCCAAAGAACAATGCCCAGCGAGCCTGTCGGGAGTTCAGCCTCTTGGCTGTCTGAATATACTCCAGATTCCTGTGGTCGGTCCATACCACAAAAGGTTCAGCTGCCCCCTCCAGCCAATGACGCCACTCCCCCAAAGCCAGCCGCACTGCCAGCAGTTCCCGGTTACCGATGTCGTAGTTCCGCTCTGCAGGAGACAAACGGTGAGAATAGTAAGCACAAGGGTGCAATTTATTGTCTTTAGGGCATATCTGAGAAAGAACTGCTCCGACACCCACCTCTGATGCATCAACCTCCACCACAAATTGTCGTGCTGGGTCAGGTAGGACAAGGATTGGCGCAGTTGTAAATCGAGACTTTAATTCTCTAAAAGCTGCCTGAGCAGCTATAGACCAGCAAAAATGAGATTTGGTGGAGGTTAATGCTGTCAGAGGGGCCGCTACCTGGCTGTAGTTGCGAATGAAACGCCTATAGAAATTCGCAAAGCCCAAGAATTGTTGTAGAGCTTTGCGTGAGCCAGGAACCGGCCAGTCGGAGACAGCTCTTACCTTTTCTGGATCCATTCGAATGCCCTCCACCGAAATTATGGAACCCAAGAACGGAACTGACTGGGCATGAAAAAGGCATTTCTCTGCTTTGACAAATAACTGATTCTCCAGCAGCCTCTGCAACACTCGTCTGATGTGCTGGATGTGCACCTGGAGAGAGGGAGAAAAGATGAGAATGTCATCCAGGTACACAAAAACAAATTTGTTTATCATGTCTCTCAGCACATAATTGACGAGTGCCTGGAAGACAGCTGGGGCATTGGACAGCCCAAAGGGAAGAACTAAATATTCAAAGTGCCCAGTGGGGGTGTTAAAGGCGGTCTTCCACTCATCGCACTCCCTAATCCGGACCAAATGGTACGCGTTGCGCAGGTCCAACTTTGTGAAAACCCTTGCTCCCTGCAGGATTTCGAAGGCTGTTGACATTAGAGGAAGGGGGTACCTGTTTTTAATGGTTATGTCATTGAGCCCTCGATAATCAATGCAGGGACGCAAGGAGCCGTCTTTCTTTTTCACAAAGAAGA